TGTGTGTGTGTGAGTGAGTGAGTGTGTGTGAGTGTGTGTGTGTGTTGAACATGAGTGTTATTTAACATGTTTGTGACTCATCTCATCTCATCTCTCGTGAGATCTGTTCATTTTGATAAGATGAATCATTCATACTGCTGCTGGAGAGAGAGAGAGAGACAGGCGGAGTAAAAGCCATGTTAATAATTGATGTGATCTCAGCAGACGCTGAACTGATGTGACGATGAGCTTCAGCTCATGAATCACAATCAGCAGTGATAATGTATTTTATGCTGTAAGTAGGGCTGAATTATGACCACAATGAGTGAGCGAGACAGTAATCACACAATCCATTGCAGACAATTCATTGTAGTGAATCACTTCAAACTAAGTTTATAAGGATTGATTTGAATCATAGCTCAACAGTGAACCCTGTATGTTTTTTTGCAATCAAGATGAATCAATACTGAATTTTAACACATGTTCCTGGTCTTAATGTGAACGATTCACTAGTGATGATATTAATTTTGACACTGAATACTGCTGTTTAATGTGTTCAGTTCAGTTAGATAAGCTGATTAGTTTTATTAGTCACACATCCATAGAATGACCCTGACTCAAGATTCATTATAGTGAGTCGTTAATATGATTCATTTGATTCATTGCTCAACTATGAACCCAGTGTAACGCCACTGTGAACATTTGGTCAAGATGAGTCAAAATGTGAAATTGTTTTGTTTCAGTCATAAAAACTGTTTTGTATTTTTATACTGTATTTAGTTAAATTTACATGTTAATACAATTATGAATTAAATATAAATAAGATAACTAGCTACCATTTCTTAGTAGTTTGTAAGGTAGTAAACTACTTTTCCAGAGACGTACTATCATTTAACAGACGCCGGTTTCTCGTCGTTGCCCTTGGAATTGAAGAAGGAGCGTCGGGTCATTAGTCACTTGATAATAGCTGTAAACGAGGGTTTAACGAGGCTGACCCTGAACTGACTGTGACTGCTGGTTGCTTGAGTTTTGTCGGGTTCACGCTGAACTTCTCGGAGGATCATGTCGAGTGTGTGTATGAATATGGATGAGTTCTTTGATGTGGAGCCCGTATTTAAAGCTCTGACCTCGTTTCCCATCAAAGACCTTCTGAGAGAATCCAACACACACCGCATCAATATTTCATCACGCGCCGAACCGGCCGCAAACCCAGGGAATGTGTGTGTAAACAGGAAGATGGAGCGACTGGCACGCACACAAATGTTTCCGTTATGATGAGCGTGACGAATCGTCTTTTGTGTGTCGAACAGTGTCGCCTTTGTTTTCAACACACACACACACACACACACACACACACACACACACACACACACACACACACAAGCATAAGAAAGAAAACTCAGAAGTGAAATCTCTTAAAAATCTAAGTTTTTCTGTGATGAAATAGAAATCTCAGTTTTAATGTGATGAAATAGAGATCAAACTGAGAACTTTCTTATTAGAAACAAACTAAATTAATGTCATTTTTGTCAATTTTGCTTGTGAAGTGTTATTGAATAAGTGTATTGTTGTATGTAAACTTAAACTTAAAACAGTGATGCTGATCACCACAGGACAGGAAAATCACAAATGAGATCTCTTTAATATCTTGTATCTCAAGAGCAATGAGATGAAATGGAGATCAGATTGAAAATGTTGCTCTAGTGTATAGTGATGTTTAATGAATTTAATGTCATTATGAGATCTTATTCCTGTTGAAAAAAACAGCATATGCTGGTTAGGTATGTTTCGAAGCATGACTGCTGGTTTGAGCTGGTTTAAGCTGGTCATTTCATCTCATCCAGGTGGATGCTGCACACTGGTGGTGGTTGAGGAGATTCCCCCCTTCTATGTAAAGTGCTTTGAGTGCCCAGAAAAGCGCTATATAAATGCAAGGAATTATTATTATTATTATTATTATGTGCTAAGCTGGTCCTAAGCAACTAGTTCCTGCTCATAACCAGCTTAAACCAGCTCATACCAGCTAAGAACCAGCCCAAACCAGCTCATACCAGCTCATGACCAGCTAAGAACCAGCTCATGACCAGCTAAGAACCAGCTTAAACCAGCTCATGACCAGCTTAAACCAGCTCAAACCAGCTCAAACCAGCTCATACCAGCTCATGACCAGCTAAGAACCAGCTTAAACCAGCTCATGACCAGCTCATGACCAGCTAAGAACCAGCCCAAACCAGCTCATACGAGCTCATGACCAGCTCAAACCAGCTCATGACCAGCTAAGAACCATCTTAAACCAGCTCATGACCAGCTTAAACCAGCTCAAACCAGCTCATGACCAGCTAAGAACCAGCTTAAACCAGCTCAAACCAGCTCAAACCAGCTCATGACCAGCTAAGAACCAGCTCAAACCAGCAGTCCTGCTTCAAAACATACCTAACCAGCATATGCTGTTTTTTTCAACAGGGATGAGTGAAATCTCGTTTATATGTGAGTTGTTTCTTCATTCTGAGATTGATCCCCACTGGAAAGCAAAATCACAAACAAGATCTCATTAATGCCTCGATTGTTTCTCCGGGAGATCAAATTAATATTCGTAAAGTCTCTGGTGGCTCATTTGTTTCTCCTGAGAAAAGAGCCCATTAATCTCATGTGTCTCCTCTAGAGTCTCAGAAGAGTTCTCAACTATGTCTCAAACTGCGCTCAGATTTGCTCAAGATCCCGAAGTCTCAATCAAAAGTCAGCGATCTCAAACATTTCTCACCAAATGATCTCTATACTCTTACTGGATGATGACTAGTGCCTCATTTAGGCCTGTTTTAGGAGAAACATCTGAGACAAAGTTGGTACTTGAAATTAAATGTAACTGAGACCTTTATAAAGTGAGTTGAATGAGCAACATTTGAGCAATAAAATATGTTTGTGTGCTTTTACTAGAAAGATTAACTGTTTGTGTTTGTCATGAGAGCGACGCAAGATCTTGTCATGTCCCAGCTGCTGTGCGAAAATCTCAAACGAGATCTCTTCAATGTCTCGATTGTTTCTCCAGGAGATTAAATTGATATTTGTAAAGTCTCTGGCTTCTCATATGTTTCTCCGGAGAAAAAAGAGCCCATTAATCTCATTCGTGTCTCCTCTAGAGTTTCAGAAGAGATCTCAACTATGTCTCAAACTGTGCTCAGATTTGCTCAAGATCCCAAAGTGTCAAACAAAAGTCTGATATCTCAAACATTTCTCACCAATAATCTCTATACTCTCACTGGATGATAACTAGTGATTCAGTTGGGCCTATTTCAGGAGAAACATCTGAGACAAAGCTGATATTTCAATGAAATGTAAAATCTAAATTTTGTCTCAGATTTGCTCAAGATCCCAAAGTCTCGATCAAAAGTCAGAGATCTCAAACACTTCTCACTGGATGATGACTAGTGCTTCATTTGGGCCTGTTTTAGGAGAAACATCTGAGACAAAGTTGGTACTTGAATGAAACGTAACTGAGACCTCTATGAAGTGAGATGTAAAAGAGCAACGTTTGAGCATTAAAATCTGTTTGTGTTTCAAACTAGACTAATAAACTCTTTCTCTCTGTCCAGCAGGTGAGCGATGCAGAATTTCATTGCGATCCGGCCGCTGTGCAAACATCTTAAACGAGATCTCTTTTGTCTCAGTTGTTTCTCCAGGAGATTAAATTGATATTTGTAAAGTCTCTGGCTTCTCATATGTTTCTCCTGAGAAAAAAGAGCCCATTAATCTCACGTGTCTCCTCTAGAGTTTCGGAAGACATCTCAACTATGTCTCAAACTGTGCTCAGATTTGCTCAAGATCCAAAAGTCTCAATCAAAAGTCTGAGATCTCAAACATTTCTCGCCAAATGATCAGACTCTCACTGGATGATGACTAGTGCTTCAGTTGGGCCTGTTTTAGGAGAAACATCTGAGACAAAGCTGATACTTCAATGAAACGTAACTGAGATCTCTATGAAGTGAGATGTAAATAAGCAACATTTGAGCAATAAAATGTATCTCTGTGTTCAAACTGAACTGATGAACTCTTCCGTCTATCCGGCAGGTGAGCGATGTGAGATCTCATCTCGCTCCGGCCGCTGTGCCGAGGGCGTGTGTAAGAACGGCGGGACATGTCTCAATCTGCTGGTGGGCGGCTTCAGGTGCGAGTGTCCTCCCGGAGGCTTCGAGAAGCCCTTCTGCCACATGAGCTCCAGGAACTTCCCTCCGCAGACCTTCATCACCTTCAAGGGTCTCCGGCAGCGCTTCCACTTCACGCTCTCGCTGTCGTGAGTATTTGTCACCGAGATGAAGCCGTCAGCCGTGTTTGTTCATTAGTCACTGACTCAATAACACTTAATGAAGCTCCTTCTTCTGGATGTTTGCTCAGTGTCTCGGGAGCTTTTATCCGCTCGTCTCGGAGCGTTATATAACATTATCCAGCGCTATTTGTCGCAAATATTTTTATACCCAAACGTCAGTGTGGTCGTGTTGGTCTGTCCGTCTCGAATGGGAAAACAGATGCTCTGTCCGGATGCTCCTCTGTCTCGGCTTTGCTCTTTTCTTTCTCTCTTTCTCTCATGCTTGTTTGCTGATGAATGCTCTGTCAGTAATCTGTTTAGCGTGTGTATAGACTGTGTGTTCAGGACTGATGAGAGCTTTTTTGCGCGGGTTGCTCGGTGCTGATTCTTGTGTTTCGAGGGATGTTTTCCGAAGGTTTAAAGGGTCATATTGTGAGTTTCCAGGACTCAAAACTCTCTGAAAATGTCCAAAATGGACTTGGCGTTAATTGAAACATGAACACGTGATCATGCACATTTACACCAAACAGGAGGAAGTAGGACACCAGGAGAACTAAAAAAATGGAGTCAAATATGATTTACATATAGATGTCTTCAAGGCGCAGTAGCAAAAACAGACTGTCTTTTATTGAACAGATCAGAAAGAGGGTGTAAAGTGATCATGAGAGACTCGATTATGGCCATTTTTGGTGCATGAAACCTCTAGGAACGTGATGAGAGGAGCTCGGGGAAGATATGAAATGTATGAAACGACCCCATTAACTGTGCCGGAGATAAAGGAGGATGTTGGGGTGATGCTGAAGGAGAAATGAAGGGTGTGTGTGTCTCTGGAGATGTGATTATTCTCCTCAGTAACCAGGTCAACAGCGCTAAACCCCACGGCAAAACCACAGTAACATCCACGAATACACCAGCACATCATACACACACTCGCTCTGAGATTTTAAGATTTAAGTGATATTTGGTGCAATATTACCAGAGCATTAATGCTCAAAAATTCTGACTCTTATTTTTATTATTAATAATATTCATATTCATATGAAATATTATTGTTTTTATTAGTATTAATTGGGGTGGCAGACAAATTAAATTAAATTAAATTGTCACAAAACATGAATAAACATTAAAAATAATTGTTTGTTTTCTCTCTCATTACATTTGCATTGTATTGGTTTATCAGATGCTTTGATCCAGGTGAGGAGCGCGTCTGGTGTTGTTTGAGTTTCTCCTCCGTGTTTTCAGGTTAAATGTTCACCTGCAGTGTAATAATAACAGCGAGGTGTTTTATTTTCGTCTGTTTCCTGCCGTTTTGTGAGCATTTGTTTGATTGGGTCTGTTTTGGCTGTCGAGTTCGCTCCTGCTGCTGCTCGCTGACCTACTTTAACTTTATAAATGTGAGACAGATACCTGTGAAGATCTGCTGCAGTCGCCGCGCATGACTATAGCAGATACTGACTGTTTGTTAGTGCTGTTCAACTCAATCTCTAGTACTAGTGTTGATAGTGAGAGCAGAAGATCACAGAGAACAGAACACTGCTGTGTGTGTGTGTGTGTGTGTGTGTGTGTGTGTGTGTGTGTGTGTGTGTGTTTAATCTACTGATGTTACTACAGCAGAAACACTGAGTTTAATCCACACAGACATGTTTGGACTGCTAATGTGAATGATGGACTTAAAGATGTATCCACACACAAACGCGCACACACACACACACACAG